AGCAAGTGTAACCACTGGTCTTATAGAAAGGCACAGACTTTCTCGCACTAGTTGTTTTTCTGATCTCTTTAGCTTTTCGGTATTGCCTCCTCCCTTCTACTCCGCTGCCATCTATTGGCGCATAAGAGTTCTTTCTTTACATTTTCACTATTTTTCGGTCCCTTAATATTGGAAGAGGAATATGATTTTAAGAGGATTATAATAAAACATGTGTCTTAAAAAAACAAAATAACACATGAAAATCGTATCGGTGTTTTATTCTATGAATTTAGCACTATTTGTTCACAATGTTTAAAGAAAAGATTTAGAGGCATTTTCGAGAAAATATTTTTATCATAACCTTTATTTCATGCGAATTATTCAGTAATTACGTATATTTTGAAAAAAGAATCTTATTGAAATTACTAATTTTGAAGGATAGATTTCAATAAGAGTAGAAATCTTTATCTTCGACGTTACAGTTCTAGGAAAACGCCGAAGTAATTTAAAACTTTTGCAATTTTTGAAAATGCGGAGAATTCCACAAAAATCGCGGACCAAGCGCCATTCTGATAACCCCGCTTTTCTCTATCCGATAAAAGATTTTTAAAACTGGAGCCATATTTTAGACAAAAATTGAAAAAGTCTTTGAATATCCTGCAAAATTCTGTTTTAAAATATTTTTAAATGTTGCAAATTTCTGATATATGCAAGTTCTAAATAAAAATAAACTTTAAATACACATTTGTCTGGTTCTTTCGTCTTCGAGTGTAGCATGTCAAAAATAATGGTCTCTTCTTGTCGGATGTTTTTTGAAACTACGGCCATTACGCACCCCAGAATAAGGTAATCCGAACGTTACGTTCCCAGAAGAGTTATCTAGTACATTCTCACTGTTTAATCAGGCGGTATATTAAAAAAATTCTACATTTGCATGCTCATACCATTCTATTCTATATATATATATATATCACTCATGATGAGACCTCCCCCCGTGCATCAATCGAGACAAATGAAGTGTGATTCGACGCGTCTGGTCTCATGATGGGGAAATGAGAATTTGCTTTCGGATCTCAAGAGTATTCTAAGAAAGGTGTCAGAAAACTTCTTTATGCGTTCTTAGCGCCGAGATGTAGCGTTGGCCAGACCACATGCCACAGAGCCACGACACCCACACGTTGAATGGCCAAAGATTATATCAAATGTAGACAAGACGTCAGAGATTGTATCGCCCGAATGTAGCTGATCACACAATGCGGTGCAGGGATTTAATCACTCGGAAGGAAAACCTTCAGTGTTGCCACCCCGTAGGATAATTATGCTTATTTGAAAATCTATAATTATCCTTTTATGGGATAATTATACGGCGGACGGACGGACGGATGGATAGACAGACAGACAGGCGTACAGAAAGTCAAATTTTGGGGAACGCTTACTTAATATTATAATATTGCAATTTTTGCGCTTCTGACACTTTAGTCATTACTTGAGAATGTTGAAACCAATTCAAACAAAACGCCTGCGTGGCATTTCTGCAATGATTTCGAAAGTCAGGAAATGGAGTAATTTCTTACATCTACAAAAGAAAGGAACGTGAATAAATCTATATAGTTACTGTATTTGTGGCCTATTATCCACACAAGCAAGGATAATTTAGCTTGCTTTCATTGCATCTAAGAAAGCTTCCATTTTTTGAATGATCATGCCATAATTAGGGATCAAATTTCAATTTCATGTTAGAAAACAATCTCTATCAGTATTCCACTTTTGAATTCCTTTTTCAAAGTTGCAAAGAGTTTCCCGAAAACGACACCTATACTATTTTTTAAAACTCTAATGCTCTACCCGAGGAAACATTTAAAGAAAATTGCAGGAGTTGTTTTCGAGAAAATAATTCCTTTAAATTCCGGGTATTTGACGCACATTTTCGCAAAAATTCTTATATTTTCGAAAAATTGCAAATGACTGTGTTTCAAGATTTGACTTTGAAGAGCAAATTTCATTTACAAAACCTGTATCATCAATGTACTCGTAGGAAGATGCCGAAAAATATTTAAAGTTTTACATTTTCAAAAATTCAGAGAGTCTTTGAATTTTCATTCTCAGAAGAAAACGTTTAAAAAACAAATTAGAGCCATTTTTGGAAAAAATAGAAAATGATGAGGATGCATGTAAATAACCCCCACAAATCACAGAGACATATATGGTTTTCCTTCCGTCAATTTTCGATATCAAGGACCCACAAAATATGGGCACGGATTACACCATTTTGTACATGGCACGTTAAATAGCTTTCACTTCCAATATAAAGACGTGGTAATTAAATGAATCCAAGGCATTTCAGAATCCCCGGGGTTTCGTGGATTTCTCCAGGGAACTAAGAGGTTCTGTTTCTGCCCCTACTAACATCAGTGCTAAATCGCTCCACCGTAATTTACAAATTGGGTGTGGAGCGTAATTATACTCGTAAGACCTATTAACGAGACAGTTGGTAGATCGCCTTGAGGGCACTGACTGTGGATCTTGGCGGAGCCCCAGACGTTCCAACCCCCACTGGCAGCATTTTGGCGTTGGCCTCTCTATATAGTTGTGCTGCCAGGGGAATGACTGGTTGGTATTTTACCACTTTTCCTCCCCTGCTTTTAGAAGGCCATATCCTCGTGGTAGATAGTCACGTCGACCACGTGGTCCCCTTCCCGACATTTTTTTATTACAAGGTCAGGTTCGAGTCTAACCCCTTCGGCAAGAGAGAAAGTGGCTTCCGTGGATACCACCGAGGCTCCTGATCTCGTCATGACGCATTATTCATGATGGGTTAGTAAAAACGAAGAGTAGACTTATTCGAAGAGATATTATATCTCAGTATTGATAAAAAATACCGTGTTTCAAAAGACTAAATGAGACGAATGCTAAACTCTTAACTTTCGAAAATAACATGCCGACGGCTCTAAGATATTTCATCATCAGCCAATTCTTTAGCACCTGCGGCATCTTTTGCTAACAGCACTAGATCGTCAGCAAAATCTAACTCAGACAATCTCCTTTCCATTAGCGGAAATTGTTACTCGTTTTCCGATTTCTAGTGCTGGTGCTCAGGAATAAGATTGAAAAGGAGTGAGGATAAAGGGTCTCCCTATTTCACTCCTCAACAAATTGCTACTAATTCCTTTCGAGAGGTGCTGAATATCGGTGGATACCTCAAGGTAAGAGTCCATTACCAAATTAATAACGGCGTCGTTAATCCCTTTCCTGACAGAGACAACCGAATCGCCACGTGGCAAACTGTGGAGAATGCATTGGATATATCTAGCAAAGCGCCCACAGTACCACCTGCTTTTTACATCACATAAAATCGCAGGAAAAAAAAAGTATTAAAAGAATTATACAGGTTCATACGATGAGTACTGATATTATTAAAATGACACGAGGAATATATTTACAAAATAATGGTAGATAATTAATTTATGTCGTACATTCAATTACTGTACCAAACAAACAAGCAAAATAGTGTATCAATTACAAAGTTGTAAAATAAATATCAATAATTACTAATCATAAAAAGGGTGACCAACATTTTCAAGCCAGATTAACAACTAAAACATATGGACAATGACATACTAAGGTTATTACTATCGATAAAACAATATTTCTTTCCGATTCTTCCACATGAATATTTTCGTGTGGTCACTGCTTGGACCTAAACTTCTTTCCACAGATTAATGGCCAAGCATGGAAATTGCGCACTCCACGCTGGCACCGATAGCTGTCACTAAGGAGAAAGAACAGATTTGCACCTGCCGACCAAGCGACGGCAG